AATATAACAGAATACATGTTACATGTCTGTAAATTCAACATTGTAACTTGTGGTTCACAACTGAAGATAACAGAAGACAAACTTGTTTAAAAATAATTTAATTTTTATGTTTTGTAATTTTGTTGCGATATGAGTGGCAGAAGAAAGTGCGAACTTTTGTGAAACTCAAAACTCGTAAAAAGAAGTATGAGACATGAGCGTGGAGAGAACTGACAAGAATATCAGGTGAAACTAAAAGTCAAGAGTGCCCAGCTTTTTGCTGGAGCTTCGTGTATACTAAGTTATAATACACCAGTGTTCGGTGAATAACCTCTGTTAGAATGTTTTGTATCATCAGTAAAGGAAACAGTCAACAATATCCGCGAGCAGTTTGAGGACAAGTCAAGTCAAGTCGTGCTGTTCACGCGCATAAAGCGGCTCAGCGTGCGCACTCGCGTGTGTTGTACTCCTATTAGTTACAATCACGACTTGCTTTGAAAGTCTTTGATTTGGATCGTGATTTCTTGTGTATCATGATTATCTGGAGTTAGTAAGGTTCAAGTTACATGAATGCTTCCAAATAAAAATTAAAAGGAAAGGAACTTATGTACCAATTCTCCTTACAGATCGGCACGGAAGAATTTGTAAGGAGAATTTTTAAGTGCATCGAGACAAAAGCTCTTGGTTGACAATTTCCTTTTTGCGCACACTGGCTCGCGCGCGTCGACAATCAAGAGGTCCCGGTTGTTGATCAAAGGATAGATAACGCTATCCACCGGATAAATCACTATCCAGTGGATAGTGCAGTATGTTCTCTCAACACTCATTAATCATTTATCCTGTGGATAGCGCTATACACCTTTTGAACAACTGGGTTGCGCTGATTTCAAAATGGGTAGAATGTTGCTGTCATGAACCGTCAAACAGACAAGTAAAGAATTTGATTAACAAAAAATTGAATCCAATTTTGTTGTGGTAACTGCAGTGGTTTTTAATAATCTCCAGGACTTTGGGGGCGGAGAACCCATGTAAGCTATCCGGATCGATACTACTGTAATGAGATGGGGTCATACATTAATCCCGGGATATA